CCAGGAAGAGAGCAGGGGCCAGGCTTGTCCCAAAGTCCCCAGGCCATCTTATCCCGGGAGGGCTGTGGGCCATGCTGGGCGTGGGGACGGGGGCAGCCTTACTTGCGGGTGATGAATCCATGGAACCAGGGGGGCAGGGCTCCGTCCTGCAGAATGAGGGGGGCCTGCGTCTCCATGAACCACCTCAGGGCCAGCTCCTGCAGCTCTGCCACAGCCTGGCTGTCCCCCACCCCCTCGGACCCCCTGCCCTGCTTCAGGCTGTCCTCCATTCTGGTGAGCTCTGGACTGGAAGCCGAGTATGGCACCTCTATATCTGTGAGTGCTCCAGCTCATTTGCCTGAGGCCATGCCCGCCCCAACCGCCAGCGGCACACAGGAGCCCTATTGTCATCTCTGGGCTGGTGGCTGGAGACACTGAGGGGAGGGTCCCCTCTGTAGCCAGAGAGGGAGGGAAGGCGATCCCGGACTTGCACCCAGCATGTGAGCTGCCCCCGGGCTTGACCTCTTCCCCCCAACCTCCAGTCTTTCTCACAGCTGAGACCAGCCCTGAGTGAGGTCCACAGCACGGCCGTCGTTAGCCAAGCAGTGGATTTAAATTCTATGTATGGTTCCCCCACGGAGGCCACTTGTATTTTGATACAGTTCTGTGCGGATTAATTCCCCCTTCCACCCAAGACTTATTTTCTAGACTCTAGGGTCCTTACCAGGACTGCAGGTGACAGCATATTGGTTAAGAATGGAGGGACATCTATATAAATTCAAAAATAGAACCGAGGGCTGGTGATACAAGTGAGGATGTGGTCACCTTGGGGGGGTGATGACCTGCAGGAGTGAGCAGCTGCTGGGTGCTGGTTCTTGGGCTGAGTGGTGGGTTAAGTGAGTGTGTTCCCTGTGGGAAAATGCGTGGAGCTCGGCGCTCATGACTCATGCACTTTTCCAGGTATATGTTCTGGTTCAACAAAACAGTTCACTTAAAAAAAGTGAGGATGCTGCAGGCACATTTTGTTGGTTCCAATCTGTAGACTTGCTAGTTGGTTTTCCCACCAGAGATAAGCCAGGTATATGCAGGGGTTCGAATGGAAATCCCAGTCCCAAACTGGCAAGGCCTGGAATTTTCTAAATTGGAGCAGGCGGGGTGGGTGGTTTATGTCTTTATCTTTTCTAACCTGTAGCTGAAATCAGCATTTCCTTCCATGGCGAGTGCAGGGAACAAACCACCTTAGTGTTCACAGCGCCTGTTTCTTTGTCACCAGTAAAAATCCCAGAGATTTCTGTGTCACCTCATGGCTGTTGCAAACGCCTTGAGATATCTTTTTTTTTTTTTATCATCACCTCAAAACAGTAGGAATTAGACCCAATGCTGGATCTTGTTATTTAACATGCTGATAAAGAAGCACATCATATTAGGACATCACAAATATTTCGATAACCCTCTTTCAATATAATTCATTTCCACTGCGATTCTATGCATTTTATTCTGTGCATTTTAAAGCTCAATTCTGAGAAGTTCACGGTTGGGTAGGGTTGCTGCCAAACATAAAGTCCTGGGAGTATTCAAATACAAAGAAATGTGTTTCTCCAATTTTCCATGAAGTGTTCTCTTTCCACCTGCCTCTTAGGCCGGATACTTTTATGGGCGGAACCGGGACATTTGCATGAGAAGACAAAGGCTTTGTTTCCGAGAGGGGGCAGAGCCCAGGACAACTTGGGGCAGGGGTGACGACTCCAAAGGCAGGCAAACAAAGGGGGTCTCTATTTACACGCAGAAGAAATTGGGGTGAGGCCGAAATAAACATGATATCGGCAAACAAGCAGGCCCGATGAGTCATGAGATAGGTGACAGGGAAAGGCCCAGAGTCCTTCCTGCTAATGTGGGGATGTGGTTCGGCCGTGTTCATGGTAAAAACATTGAACTCAGGATTAAAAGGCTCGGATCAGGTGCCCAGATTCAGCCTCTATTTGTTATGCGACTCTGAACAAAACCAAGTCTCCGTAAACTTCACTTTCCTCATCTGGTAAGTGGGTTTAATAATACCTACCACGTAGTGATGTTGGGATACCAGTAAGGCAGCGATTTTCAACCCTTTTCACCCCATGACACACATAAACTAATTACTAAAAATCTGCGGCACTCCACAAACTATGTATTTTTTGAGTATCTGACCAAAAAAATAGGTATAATTTTTATTTTTATTTATTTTTATTTTTTATTTGACAGTCCAAGGGAAAAGAGGTCAGTGCCTCTGACTAAGTAGTCAGGTATTGCATGTTTTAAAAATTCTTGCGGCACAGCGGTTGAAAATCTCTGCAGTAAGATAATACGAGGCACATAAAAGGGTTTCTTCATCCCTGGCCAAGCACTTTAAAAAAATGTCAAAACGGTCGATGGTGTTTGTCTGTGCTAGGAAATGCCCAGTTATAGTCTGGATGGCAGTTCTCCTCACTCGCTGGGTGGCTTCTCCTAGAAGAGGCCTATCGGTTTTATAAACGCAAGCAAACAAAATACTTCACCTGGGAACAGACGATCCTCATGGATTTTCTTGAGATTTTTTTTTTCCAGTAACCGAGCTCGGTTTCAGAGAAAGCAGCCCCGGGGAACCTGTTTGGGAAGCACAGAGGAGAGGCCTTGCTTTCCCCATGACTTGCCTTCTGTGACACATCCCTCACCATCCCAGGGCGGCCCTGGCTGGGAGTCAGAGCGGAGGGAAGCCTCTCTTCCATGGTGTGGGTTTGAAAACCAGCTCAGAGCACAAGAGAACAGCTCGGCCGGACAGTGAAAAAACGTTTCACTCAAACCTTAGGGCTGGGGTGTCGGAGGCAGCAGAGGGCACCGCCTCTGAGTCATTCAAGACCAGACTCCGCATCCCGGATTTAGTGACAAATTTTCTCATTTGCATTATTAATCTGGCTGAACTCTTCCCTGGCCCTTTCAGAAAGCCAGAGACATTTCATAACAGAATGAAGCAATCTCATTTTGGCATTTCTCTAGTCCACTAAGACCATGTCCTTCAGCCAGGAACCAAGTTACACATTCGCGAAATTAGAAAAGACTAGAACTTGGGAGAGATTTGGGGAACATCAGTTAGAACCCATGGAAGCTGAGATCCAGAAACGAAGTGACACGTCCATGGGAAGCAGTGAGTGGGACCAGAACTTGGGTGTCTTCGCTCCCAGCCCAGATCTACGGAACTCCACCCTCGCAGCCTCCCAGACCACAGCCTTGAGAATCCAGATGCTTCCATTTGTCGGCCACAGTGCACGGAGAGGGTGGATCTAGGTCATAAATGCAATCTGCTAGCCAAACAACCTCGCTCCGCTGCCAAGGCCATTGACTCCGCAACCTCCTACCAAGACAAGCTGCATGACGTCGTCATCTGTCTGAAGAAGCTTCCCGTTGTCATTACATTCATTAGGATTGCATCAAGGACCCACTATGTCACCCGTCTGGTTCTCTTCCTCACCAAGTCTTCCCCAAGCAGGCTCCCTCCCTCTCACCTATAATTCCTTCCAAACTGTCCTGGAGCGTAAAGGAGCTGGGNCCCTGAGGCCACATGTACCACCCCCCGCGGCAGCCTCACCAGCAGGCACAGTAGCCACTGACCCTCACCACCCACCTGAATGGCTCTGCAGCAAGAATGAACCCATATAGCTGGAGAGTTTCAGGTTTGCGGGGTCCTTGCTCAGGACCACTGTGTGCCGTTCTGTAGGGCGTGCTCTGCCCAAGAGTTTCTGTTATGTCCGGAGCCTGGTCACAGTGGCATGTCCCCTTCAGCCCCAGGCAGCTATGGATGTTTCTAAGTGGTGCCAAGTATTTTGCAGGCATGGTGGGAAATTCCAGCTGTCGCCTGGTTTGGCAGCACGGAGACCAGATAGTGCCCCAGCCACAGACTCACCAAATACTGAGTGTGTGCTCTATGCAGGACCAACTGCACAGTGTGCAGGGCCCAGTTCTGAGTGAAAATGCAGAGCCCCTCACTCAAGTAACTTCAAGACAGTGACAGCAATGCATGAAACCAGGCATAGGCCCCCCTGAGCAGAGGGCCCCGGGCTCCTCAGTCTGTTCCCCT